CTTTTTTATAAAGCAGAAACACCGTTGTAAAGCAATTATCCTCCAATAAAGATGTTAAAAAAATATGGCCTAATAAATTGGATAACATGTGGTAACACTATTTTTGAGAACAGATCAAGGAAGCCATATAATTGTATCTGAACACTTGTTTAGCTGTACTGAATCTATAGCAACCTGTTTTCTTTCTCATCCTAACCCGTATCTTAAAAAGTATATCTCTTCAAATCAACCAATGCCTTGACTAGTTTCTTTATAATAAATCAAATGTCATTCACTCAACAAACATTTATTCCATTCCTACTATGTTTTACACATTATACTTTGACTTCACAGCTCCTGTGGTTTAGTGGAGAAGAAAGATGAAAAGGAAATGTAAATAGTGTTATAGGTGCTAAAACATGGGTGTCAAGAACTGTATAGTGTCTGAGATTTTACCCTATTTACAAGCTAATAAGTTAGTCTGTTACTGTTTCATGGGTGCTGTCAAAAGACACAAGACTCCTGGGTCAGAGACAAAGAACAATATTATTCACTGTAAAAGCAGTAAGCAGAGCTTGTTTTGGTTTGTGTTGGATCCCCATATCCCTTGTCATAGGCTGAAATGAGTTCCTCCATAATTCATATGTAGAGGTGTTATATACAGAGGAAGAAAACAGCAGAGAATCCCTCTAAATAAGAATTCATTGCTCTAGAATTCAGGAAGTCTATATATAGGGTGTGGAGGGGGAAAAAGAGAATTTGGATTGTTTCAGAGCAGGAACTGCCCAGACTAGATATTTTTTTTTTCTAATGTCTGTCCTTTCCGTAGACATACATATTTGCACTTTAGTTTACATTACAAACTTTTGGTGAAAAGGTTATACATTTTATAGAAAAAGCTTCACAGTTCTGACTCTTTGTCATGTTCATCCAGGTAGTATTCGTCATCCGTGGTTGTGTCTGTGTCACAATCTGACTCTACTGGATCATCTTCATAGATATTAAGTGGTGCACTTAGAGATAAGCCATCTTTTGGCATCTGATTACTAGGAGAATTAGAACTTGATGACTCTGTTGGGTTAGGAGGGTTAACTACATCATCTTTCAGGAAGCCAGGGTTCTTAAGATGGCTTTGGGTTCCTTTTCTAGAAAAGATAAAAGATTAGTACAAGTCTACTAATTTGTTTAGCAGGAATTAACATTGCATGTCTTACATTTCAACTGGAAAGATCTGCTTATCTTTCATAAGTGCTACTGGCCCAACTCCACGGGGCTTCCTCTTCCTTTATAAGTGTGAGAGCTCTCAGAGAGAAATGCCAGACCCTACTCATTCCTCCTCTCTTTTGCAGCCAGGTACATTGATCTCCACTTGTTGGTTGGTTGCTTTTTGGTACAAATGGAAGGAGAAGAGAGAAGGAGTCATTGTTTTCTAAAACCACTCATATGGCTAATCTTATTCAATAGCCACCAGAAAGATTTATTTGAATACTTTTGTCCACCACACTCCACCCCCCCTTTTCTTTTTTGTATTGTTCCTGAAACTTTCACACTTAAAAATAATCATTTGAGGATGGGAATAAAAACCAAGTCAAATAATGCATCTATTTAAACCATTTATTTCAACACAGGCATTGTTTCAAATTTGTACCTTGTCTTGTAACACATTTCATATCTAGAGAACAGGTTTGAGAACAAGTACATAAAAGGATTATTTGACAACATTTTAAACAAAAGTGCTTAAGGCTTATTACATGTTTCAGAAACACAGAAGTGCCAGTCACAAAGAGCCTCAAAGTAAAATATTTACATATTTACACTGTACATTTAAATGGGTTATTCTGAAGCATTATTACTATTATTAACAATAAACTCTTAGCAAAAAGACCTCTTTAACCCTCTGGCATTCAATGGAGTATATTACTTTTATGGAGGTGTGGACATTCCAGTTTGATACCTAGCTTTACCATAACGTAAGTGGACTTTCTTTCACCACCTCAAGTACAGGCACACATGTACCTCCTACACAAAGCAGCTTTTATTAGCCTATCATCAGCCAAAACCTTGTTAGTAGCAGTTGGAGTTTTATTAACAGCGATGTATTTACAATATAAGGGGGTAAATTATTTAGAGGGAAGTCTCTAAAAATTAAAAGAATCTCATTAAGCCCTATTTTATTATTTTATTATTATTATTATTTTTGCGTTACGCGGGCCTCTCGCTGTTGTGGCCTCTCTCGTTGCGGAGCACAGGCTCGGGACGCACAGGGTCAGCGGCCCAGCCGCTCTGCAGCATGAGGGATCTTCCCGGACCAGGGCACGAACCCGTGTCCCCTGCATCGGCAGGCAGACTCTCAACCACTGCGCCACCAGGGAAGCCCCTAAGCCCTATTTTAAATGGACTTTACATGTAAAATTTATGGCTATAGAAGTCTATTATTTAAACAAGTTAATAATTTACCAGGTACTTATTAGTATTGATTCCCTCATTATTTACTCCATTTATATGACTATTTAATGATGATTATATATTTTAGAAAACGAGTTATGAGTATAAAAATGACTATTATAAATTACTATAGCTATACCAAAAATGAATATTAAAAAGCAGCAGTTTGTATGTTAAAATACATAGACATTTGCTATACTTCTTTAATGAAGTGTTTTATAAAGGTATAAAATTATAGAAGGTGCTATTTTCATGAATTTTCTGTTTGCTTGACTTTTGAGCCAGACCAACAAGCAAATATTACAAATAGTGCAAGTGAGCATTGGCCATCAATGACCTTTGAATTCAGATAGTAGATTCTAGTACAGAGAAGCAGGGTCCCAAAGTAGTTGTTTAGCCTGACCTTAACTTACCTAATTGTTGATATAGGCTAAATTCAGTGAAAAATAAGCTAACTTCATCTCACCTTTTGTAATATACGTGTAGACTCAGAATATTTACCGAAATAGATTGGTAAATGATTAATTAAAAAACCAAGAATCTTAGGGCTTCCCTGGTGGCGCAGTGGTTGAGAGTCCGCCTGCTGATGCAGTAGACACGGGTATGTGCCCCGGTCCGGGAAAATCCCACATGCCGCGGAGCGGCTGGGCCCATGAGCCATGGCTACTGAGCCTGCGCGTCCGGAGCCTGTGTTCCACAATGGGAGAGGCCACAACAGGGAGAGGCCTGCGTACCGCAAAAAAAAAAAAAAAAAAAAAAACCCACCAAGAATCTTAATATTAAAATATTAACTTCGAATATTTTAAAATTAAATAGAAAACATAGGTCATGGTTTATGAATTTTATTTAAATAATCAGATAAATAGAAAAAGGAAGGTAAAATTTACAAACATACATGAAACAAAGAATAAACTATTATTTATCCTTCACCATACAAATTTAAATGCAAACATTTAGAACAGTTGATTTAGAATTCTACTGTCAGTCTCTTTGAGGTCAGGATTGGCCAGAGCTTGAAGTTTAAGACAATTTATAGATTGAAGAAATAGCTTTCATGTAATTACCTCATTTTCCTTAGTTTTGAGTTTCATGGGAACAATGCAAACTAGCTCTGGCATTTTGCTTCTAGGCAAGGCAATGGTTAGGAGGATAATAATAATATAGTCCTTTCTTGCATTTCTATAAGTTCCAAATTTCTGTATACTTCCCCAACACCTATCATTATCCTTAATTTATATGGATGAAACAGACTAGATGAGAAAAATGGAAACTAAAATGAGGCCAGGAAGCAAATATAAACCAAACAAGATGAAATCCATTCATGTTGACCCTCACAGTACTAAGATCCAGGATGGCATGATTTCTGTAGTTCTAGAAGATTAGCTTCACTGCCACCTATTTATTGGTCTTTATGCTGATTAGGAGGAGAGAAAACCCCAAAAGTTCCACATAGCAAATAAAGAGTTAGGAAAGCCAAGTTATCAGTGGGTGTGACAAGTTATTTAGTCTAGATAAATTATTAAAGGAATCATAGTGACAAGCCCTTAGAAGTTCTGCCTTCTAATTTCCAAGGGTCTGGTAAATGATCTGACAAAGAAGCCTGTGAACCCCAAGGTGTCAGATCTGACTTGGTAGTACTTTAGGGACTTGACCAAGGCTACCACTTGCAACTAAAATGTCTCACATGGAAAAAAGTGTTCTATCCTGCAAATAAAGAAAAATTTTAAATGGATGGTTCTGGAGAAATGGAAAAAAAAAAGGAACAGTTGCTGAGAGAGCTGCAGTAAGGATGTCAGTCTCATGAAGGGATGTCTGCTTATCTCTACCCCTCAGTTATGTCCCCTTCCTAAGCAGAAATTCTGTGGCAAAGCCACCCTCTGTACCATCCTAGAAACTATTTCAAAGGAATTCCTAGGAGTACTAATGTTCTTTGGCTTACTAGGGATTCACCTCTTCACCTATTATCTCAACAAGCACTTCAAATATGTGTTTCCCTGGCTCCACTATAGATAAAACAGGATGTCCTTATAGATATGCTCTTATCTTTGTTCAAAAGAAAAAAAACCAAAAAAACCCAAACTCTAAACCTCCTGAATGTTGATGAGTCAGACAGGATAATAATACTCCATTGTTATCACCCTACATTTTATTAAATGCCATGAATATAAGGTATGGAAGAGGCAAGACAGAGTTTTGCTGTTGTGCTGGGATATTAAAGTTGTAAATCACCATGAAAGGTATAAGAAAGTTAGGGGGAAAATAGAGCAGAAAACCAAAACCAGACAGTGAGTTAGAGATTAAGTTTGGGCTGAGTGGCAGAAGGCCAAGGATATATACAGAGGAAGAAAACAGCAGAGAATCCCTCTAAATAAGAATTCATTGCTCTAGAATTCAGGAAGTCTATATATAGGGTGTGGAGGGGGAAAAAGAGAATTTGGATTGTTTCAGAGCAGGAACTGCCCAGACTAGATATTTTTTTTTTCTAATGTCTGTCCTTTCCGTAGACATACATATTTGCACTTTAGTTTACATTACAAACTTTTGGTGAAAAGGTTATACATTTTATAGAAAAAGCTTCACAGTTCTGACTCTTTGTCATGTTCATCCAGGTAGTATTCGTCATCCGTGGTTGTGTCTGTGTCACAATCTGACTCTACTGGATCATCTTCATAGATATTAAGTGGTGCACTTAGAGATAAGCCATCTTTTGGCATCTGATTACTAGGAGAATTAGAACTTGATGACTCTGTTGGGTTAGGAGGGTTAACTACATCATCTTTCAGGAAGCCAGGGTTCTTAAGAAAACTTGGTTTCCATAATCTTCCTTGTGTGAGTGACCTCTTTACATTCTCCAAGAAAGCCAGTTGTTGTTCTTTCCCAAATATCCCATAGTCAATAGGTCTAGATATAGATGTTGCAGACCTAGGACCCATTTTTGGCCCACTGTTGTACAAAGCCCAACTTTCATTTTCATCACAGGAGGGGAGTTCAGAAAAAGATTTGAATCTTCGACTGTTGTTAGAGAATTCATTCCCAAGGGTCAGTTGACTCAGGGCATTGTCAATAGAAGTACTTTCAGAAAAATTACGCTCTCTGACTTTTGGAGGATGACTTTTTCGTAGTAGAGCACCGTGCACATTGATGCTTTTTAAACTCTTTGAATGATAGGGGTGTGGCTCAGGTTCCCACTCCAGAGATGAAGCACTCCTTTGTTGTTGCTGAAAACTGGCCAGTGGCATGCTTACTGTAGATTTCTCTGCAGGCTCCAATTGAAAATGAGGGTTCAGCCCCCTCTGATGGTCAGGGAAGTCTGCTTCCCTGAGGCTGATCAATGAGGGTTGGGCCAGGGCTTCTGACTCTCCTTCCAAAATCTGAGCTACTGTTACATCCTTAGAATTCTCATACTTTAGTTGTAATTCTGAGATTTTTTTAAACTCATTTTGATGTGGCTGTGAAATATTGTTAGACTTCTGATTGCTTAAGTGTGTAGAAGTTTCTCTGTTGGTAATTGTAGTAACCTGGAGAGGGTCCTCAGATTTCTCCACATTTACTCCATCATTACTTAACCTGCTTTCATCTGTGGATTCTGTGGACTTTAACATAGGCACAGGGGAGTGTGGGTTGCACTCTGGTGTGCCAGGGGATAAGGTGCTAAAGCCAGAATTGTTCCCACTTTGAGGAAAGATAGTAGTCACATGTCTTCTGGGGTATAAATCTTCAGCTGGAAATTTTCTGCTTGCTTTGGACATAACCGCCAATTTGTGTTTAACTGAAGATCTGTTTTCCTCTTTTTCTAGGTCATTCAAGCTTTTTTTACTTTTATTACTTCCTTCAGGAAGTGAAGGTTGATTCCATGCCAACTCCTGCATTTCATCTTTAGCTTTGCGTTCTGTCATATTTACCTCCTGACTTCTTTGAGGTAGTTCTCTGGGTTCAGACTGCAAACTGTCTAAATCTTGTTCACTTGAACAAGTCTTCTCATCAAGCTGTAGTTTATGCAAGGCTGGAGTAAGAGCAAAGACTTGGCTTTCTGAGTCAGAAAGTGGTTTATCAGGGTTTTTTGGGAAATCTTTTCTAATTTCCCCTCTTACTTCCCCAGGCTGCAATCCATTGGAGCTATCATCTATAGCTATACCTGTTATATCTTTCTGAAGACTTCCAGTAGCTGTAATGGCTATAGCACTACTTGTACACTCCCCAGAACTTCTAATGATTTGGGAATTTTCAACATTCTCTTCTGAATGGGCTGGGATGTTAGAAAAATCACTTTTACCTGATTTAATGGATTGCTGACAATTTTCAGATTTCTCTCTTGTAACTTTTTTTCCCTGAAGCATTAGTGAAGTATACAGGGTTTCACTTCGCAATTTTCCCCCTTTCTCTTTCTTGTTTTGTGAATCACATAAAGGTGTTTTAGCTAAGTTGTGTGGGGAAATCTCTCTAGATTTAGGTTCTCCTTTATGAAGAGAAACATCTGCTTCAATAGAAGCAATTTCCTGTAATGTAGGTTCTGAGGACCCAAAACTCGGTAATTGTAAACCAGTCATATTTTCAGTGGTGTGAGAAAGATGGCTGTTCTCCTGAGCAGAGCTGACCTGCATCTTTAGATCTTTAGATGAAGGTGTTCCTGATTGCTCTTGTGTAGAACAATTTAGTTTGTCTTTTTCTAAAGCATTAGGAGATATTTTAGTCCCCACTTTAGTTGATTCTGTAAGTGAATCGATATTTTGTGTATACTTTTGAAGAAGGTTACAGAACTTTTTTCTGTGTTTCCTTGGTAGAGTATAATATATTGAAATCACCTCAAGACATTTCACATTATCTTCATCACCAGAAACAGAAAACATACTAGTAGTCTTAAATTTATGTAATGTGTTCCCACTTTCTTTGCCTGACAAATCTGCAGAAAAAGGTAAAGGGTGTTCATTTGGATGGGAAAATATACCTGTCCTGGAGTCAGAAATTCTACCATTCTTTTCAGTACATTCTTGAAAGTATTCCTTCTGGTGGTGTCTTTTGCTTAAAGAACACTCCCGAACAGATGAGTCACTTCCCAGAGGGTTAATGAGTCTCTCCCAAGGCTTTAGTGTTATAGTAGAAGCATCTGTATCTGAGACTAAACCTTTTTCTCTTTCATCTCTTCCAGTTGAGGCATATGGCACCCCTGAGGGACATGACACAGCCCTCTTGATGAGGACTTGAAATGGTCCTTTTCTAACAGAAGCAGATCCAATGTTTGTCATATTTGTCAACCCCTCTGTGGCTTCAGGTGGTACTGAGACTGAGTCTGAAACTACTCCAGAATATTTGCTCTCTGACTCACAAGAACTGGGGCTGAATTTGTTTGATGTGTACTTCCTTACTGGATCTTCCACATCATTTTTGATTTGGAATGCAAGTTGCTCATTCCTAAATGAAGAAGGCATTATCTTACTTTCAGACTTCCTGTTATTGATGAGAAAACTGGCTGATTTTATTGGTAAGGTACAATAAATTGTGTGAAGCTCAGGAGGCTTGGAACTGCTTTCAGTTCCCTCAATGAGGTTACTGCTGTCACTTGTAGGTATTGATCTACTTTCCGTTTTGCTTAATTTTTCAGTATAGGATATACATCGTCTTATTTTTCCTTTTCCCTTTCCATCCCTGAAAGGAGGATGTGAATGGCATTTGACAACATCAACCACTTCATTATGTACAGGCATACAATTAACATTACTCTTTTGGTTTTCTGAGAGGCTTAGGGAAAATTGACTATTTTGGTTCTTGCAATCATTGTCTTTTTCTTCTCTTTCTCCCAGAGATAGATCTTTGCTTGAAGGACATTTCCAGGAGAACCCTGTAGTAGAAGGAATCACCAGAGCATCAAGGCAAGAATCATTTGATGGTAAGGAATCTGGTAGTGTACCTGATGACAGATCTAAAGAATCACATGGCATATTGTGGTTGGCAGGTGACTTGCTACAGTTGGTAGAATAAGTTGTGGTACATTGTTCTTCCTTGGTATCTAAAACAGCAGGCTTTTCTGAAGACTGTGCATTTTGATTATCAGTACATTCAGGACTCCCGTGGTTATTTTTAATAATGTTTGAAATATCTTTATTTTTTACTGTTAATTCCTGGTGACAACCTTGATTTGGGCTGAGAAAAGGTGATGTTGTTCTGCTTTTCTGAATGAAAGGAAGGGAAGTTGCTGAGCCAAGTTTTCTGTTCCCAGTATAACTCTTATCTTTTTTTAGTTCATTGGCTTTATGAATTTTGGAGATATCTCTCCTGGAAATGACTCCAGGCAAACTTTTTGAACTTATTGTCATAGATGCATTAAAAATAAATCTGTTGCTCTTGGCTGAGTCCTGAGAGAGGAGATTTTGAAAATCAGGTAAAGGGTTAGAAATTACTGTCTGTGAAACAAGTTGGGGTATTTCACCTGTCATGTTTGTCTCGTCTATCTTGTTTAGTTGTTTGTCTTTTGCCAAAACAGATCCATTCAAGTCTTTCTCATTATTCAATTCTGTGACCAAGATATTGGGTTGGCTTTCAGTCAGAGGTGGAGAATCAACTGAATCACTGTTGGTCCCAGTGACTTCTTTATAGTTTCTGATTGGAAGAGAAGCAGGCTTAATTTTCTGCAAAGTGACTGTGGGATTCTGAAAGTTGGGACTCTGAAGATTCCCTCTGTCATCAGGAATCTGTGGGAAGGTAGTTTTGAATGAGGATGCTAGAGTTTGAGCAATTCCAAATGAGTAAGGTTCTTTGTTTATATGTAGTTCCATAGGAGAACAGTTCTGTTGACATTCTAACCCACCAGATTTGATGTGATAGCTTGAACCAGACATGGGGCAAATATTTGGCACGCTGAAATGAGCAGACTGGTTCCTTTTAACTTGTGACACCTCCATGCTCTCCAGTGTGGATGCCTGAGAATCAAACTGTGAGGGATGTGGCTTCTCTTGGTTTCTGGAAGTATTTGTCCTGTACCTAGGAGAAAGTGACCCCCAGTGTTGAGAAGGAACACTATGACAATGACCAGCTAAAAATGCACTATTTGCTTCAATGGAGATCATTTCAAAGTCTCTGTCAGAAGAAGTGAATGGTTTCCTGCTTTGATGAAAGTCAGACCAGGAAGAATGTTCTTCCTGTTGGCCCCAAAAAGGACTTTGTCCAAATCTCTGTCCCCTGCTCCATCCAAAGGTATTGCTAAGGAAAGACCTAGTAAATGGGTTATCTTCATGGTAGAACAGCATATTCTCTGAGTGCTCAAATGGGTCAGCACTCATTGCATTATTCATGGGGGCATTTAAACCAACACTTTGGTGAACACTCTGTGAATGGTAAAATTCATATCTCCTATCCTCCTGAAAACACCTGGGATACATATACTGGTCAGCAAGGTCAATTTCCATCGGTGATGGTGCCCTCAGGAACTCTTCCTGGTTCTGCCTATCTCTAGAGGAATTTGATCTATTCCATATGATAGATGATAAAGGAGTTCTCTTTGGGCTCTGTTGGTGGCTTGGTGGTATAAATGCAGTCTTGATCTGAGTTGTGGCTGAAAAAGGTAAGCTTCTTGCTGTGAAATACCCTGTAGCTGGTGAGGCTGATTGTTGTCTGCTGTCAAAATACAGAGAAATACTACTAAAAATATTCTTTTGCACATAATCTTCTTTTAAGACTCTGGGTTCCCTTGTCTTGTACATATCACAGATTGTCCTTGTTCTAGGAGAAAAGGTTTTAAAACCTTCCTTAGGGGTTCCTGGTCTTAAGACGTCATAGATAGACATATTAGAAGTTTCATTACAGCAATTTTTGTGCCTTGCTGTGATATTACGGTGTTTATTCCCACTGGAGTAAAAATGACTAAACTGTGTTCTTGATCCATAGTTGAGAGGTGTTCTGGCATTCAATGAGCTTGGAGACTGTTCCTGAGCCAGTTTTCCATCCAAATCATCTAAAACTAAAAGGAGAATATACATCATTTTTTTGCATAAGATTTTACAGTCTAATAATATTTTGAGTTGTTGAAGGCTCTGCTTGAAGAAACATAATCCCTTATAATTTTTAGATAATATCACCATAAATGTTATGACATTAACTTTGATTATGTCTTTAAGATAGTTTGACTTTTACAAGCCTGTAATGGAAGTTTCTTTCTCATTTTCACACTTTTTCAAATCACACATTTTCAAAGTTGACCTTCCAAAATGCCTTAAGACCATAAAAGCCACATTTTTTCCCCTAACAGTAAATTTTAATCATGGTTTCTAGTGAATCTTTTGTGTCACTAGGTATCTATAATGTTTCCAATTATGTTTACCTCAGGGGATTGTAAAAGATATGAAAGTCTGTAAATAACCTGTGAGTTCTTAGTTGTACTTAGTTGCACATTACTGCCAAAAGTTTAGCATCCAATTTATTAACATACTTATTTGGATGGTAATAGATATATTTTATCATATTCATGTTACAATAAATATGAGTAGATTGTGTATTTTCTGAAGAAATGTTCATTAAAAAAATAAAATCTGACATGAGAAACAAGTTATGGGATTATTTAGATTGCTGAAGAACTTTTTGGTTTACAGAAATCTATCCTTCTGAGTTACATAAAATGGTGCACTCTCTTTGGTTAATTAAAATTATTTGTCATTAAAAATTGTAATTTTAGGGACTTCCCTGGTGGCACAGTGGTTGAGAGTCCGCCTGCCGATGCAGGGGACACGGGTTCGTGCCCTGGTCCGGGAAGATCCCACATGCCGCGGAGCGGCTAGGCCCGTGAGCCATGGCCGCTAAGCCTGAGCGTCTGGAGCCTGTGCTCCGCAACGGGAGAGACCACAACAGTGAGAGGCCCATGTACAGCCAAAAAAAAAAAAAATTGTAATTTTAACTCTTCAATGACAGGGGAAGTGAGGTATATCGGTATCTGAGTGAATGTAAGTGAGACGTACTTATAATATACCAATTATGTTAGGACAGGTGCTGAAGGGGTTTTTGATATCTGCTTTGAATTTTCTCTACACTATTTTATTTGTAAGTTGGTACTATTAAGTTCGCATAGCCAGCAAAAGAACTAGTCTTGAGCATGAAAGATCTGTAACTAAGGAATTCTTCAGGGAAAACATTCGTCAATGTTTTAATGAAAAAAAATGTTTTTCTCCTGTCCCTGAAATAATTTATTTCCTACATCCACAAATAAAATAATCAAGCAATGCCAAAATATAAGGCAGGGCAAAAAGAAAAGAAAACTACATAAATCTGTCTTTAAAGCAAATTATAATGAAATCTCTTTGATTTCTGTTTTCCCTTTCAAGCTGTTCATAGTTTTTTCTTCCTCCTTAAATAAAGTCTTTTGCTGACTACAAAAGCAATATATGGTAAATACTGGAAAATATAACAAAAGAGGTAAAATCACCTGGAGTCCTTCTTCCCAGAGATAACCACTCTTAACATCAGTATCACGGGACTTTAAATTATTCAAAGTCACTTTGATTCCGTAATTAATACTGCTATTTGATTCACTACTCTTGAGGTCAAAAAAATTCCTGTTCTGCTTCTCCTTTTTATTTTCAGAGAGGTCAAGTCATTTTTCTTTTTTTTTTTTCATTTCATAAAAAGTAGCTCTCCTCTACCAGCAAAACCTTTGTTTTGGAACAGAAGTTTTCCTCTGGGTCTCTTTTCTCTGAAGCAAGTTCTCTGCCAGTAACCATCTTACTGAAAGGAGTTAACCAACCAGCTGGATGTCTCTCAATGATCACACCACCTGTCCTAACTATAGGGCTGAGGTGACAACATTGCCCTTGGAAATTGAATTTAGTTTCTCAAGGTGAAGCTAGTGAATGATTTCAGAGTTCACTTTTCACATGGCTAGGCTTATTTTATATAGAATAAACTATGTCAAGGTGAGCTATGCTTGTATAATAAGGTGCATGTGTATATAGTACTTTTGGAACCTGTTTTAGTCTTTATTGTTATCTATTGTACAAGGTTAATTGTTTAACAACGATCAGATTTCATCACAGTGCATTTAGGTCCTAATCAGGAACAATAAAAGTCTATTAAGGACAGTAAACTTTGTAGATATATTTCCTAAAGACATATTTTTTCCTTTTTACCTGAGTTTAAATATTAAACATTATTACCATTCCATAGATTTATCAGGCCTTGATCCAAGAATATTTGCTTAGATTATATTTAAATGTAAGATTCTTTAGGGACTTCCCTGGTGGTGCAGTGGTTATGAATCCACCTGCCAATGCAGGGGACATGGGTTCGAGCTCTGGTCTGAGAAGATCCCACATGCCACGGAGCAACTAAGCCTGTGCGCCACAACTGCTGAGCCTGTGTTCTAAAGCCCAAGAGCCACAACTACTGAGCCCATGTGCCACAACTACTGAAGCCCGCATGCCTAAGAGCCCATTCTCCGCAACAAGAGAAGCCACCGCGATGAGAAGCCCGCGCACCGCAACGAAGAGTAGCCCCGCTCACCACAACTAGAGAAAGCCTGCACAGAGCAACAAAGACCCAACACAGCAAAAAATAAATAAATTAATAAATTAATTTAAAAAAATGATTCTTTAATATTTGTGTTAATAGCATGTAACCACATCTTCTTCAGGTAAGGTAAACAAGAGGGACTTCAAAAATGAAGTACAGGGTTTGATACATTTTGAGCACTTTAATACAGACTGTAATTATTATTTGCTTTCCTTTAGTACTGGGAATTCCAAAGGCAATTCAATGCATAGACTTACCTTGGAAAAACTCATCCTCTAGTAGTGAAGCATCCCACGGAGGCATGCTACTTCCCTCCCTCATGCCTGCTGGCTTGGGGACAAATGCACTGTCAATGGGTTGATTTTCCAGAGGTGAATTGTATATTTTTGCCTGCTAATTTTAAAATAGAAAATGTAATATTATTTCTGGACCTTCCCCAGCCAACATGTTCCCACGAAGATGTCCCAAGCTTAAAAGTCCTAGTCTAGGGCTTCCCTGGTGGCGCAGTGGTTGAGAGTCCGCCTGCCGATGCAGGAGACACAGGCTCGTGCCCCGGTCCAGGAGGGTCCCACGTGCCGCGGAGCGGCTGGGCCCATGAGCCATGGCCGCTGAGCTTGCGCGTCCGGAGTTTGTGCTCCGCGGCAGGAGATGCCACAGCAGTGAGAGGCCCGCGTGCCATAAAAAAAACAAAACAAAAACAAAAAACTCCTAGTCTAAGGACTAGCAAATAAATTTTCCTAACATTTATTTCTCTAGTTGTAATGTTTTGTTGCTTTTGCAATTTGCAACTGATCACAAACTTCTCCATACCTACATTAATTCCTTTTAGTATGAGCCTCTCCCTGCAAAAGATTCCTACAAATTTACATATCACTACAAAAATCTTAAGGAGGTTACTGGAAAATAGGAAAGAAATTGACCTCTCTTGAGTGGGGAATGTTGTCTCTCTGGCCCCAGTGGCTGTAATTTTAGATTTCTTAACACTGTACCTATTTTCTCTCAAAAGGCAGCTAGCTGAAACTTGCGGTGGATCTTAAAATTTGTAAACTTGATGGATTTAGGAAAAAAAAGTATTTCTATCCACGGAAATCATGTAGAATGGTAGAACCTCCCAGATACATATAAGGAACTGATTAATCATTCTGAAAAAAAGGCGCTGAAAAGCATGACCTTATAATTTTTTTTAAACCTTTGCTAGTTTTATAGGATTTAGGAGAATGATGTAGAGTTCTTTACTAGCAAATTTTATCTTGATTTCATTAAATCCATCACTGCTCTACTTTTAAGTTTTAATTTGTCTTTATAACCTTGGGGAATTATCCACTCCCACACCTCCACTTCCTTTTGCCAAAACTCCATTTGCATTTCCTCTGTCAAACTGGCTCTGCCACTCATGACTCCACTTTAACTCATCCTGACTGCATCCCTGCACAAGGCCACTTCCCATTCCAATTGCTTTATTTTCAGTTCATTTTCTACCCAGTCCTTGCCGCTTGAATCCTTCTCTTCCCCAATTTTTCTCTTTTTATTTGATGTTCACTATCACATTTAATCTCATCTTGAATGCTTAAGGCCAAATCTCTAATATTTCTAAAGCTCCAGCTTTTTAATTTCTCCAACACAGGTGTGTCCAATTCTAAAGCCTAGGTCCTCTTAATCCTTGCATTCGTCATAATCTATTATTTTTATACCTGTTTGTTTTCTTTCTCAAGATCTAGGTCGGTTATTTCTTACAGAAGCCCTGCCCAAATTTCATTGACTTGTCATTTTCAGTTCTATGGGTAAGCCGTAATTGAATACATACAGAGGAGATTTAGTAATAAGAAAAATAATTCAATGATAATTTATTGGTTATTGGATATAATTTAACACACTTATGCTAAATTCAGAAATAAACAAATATTAGAAGCATGATATAACTATAGGGATATACCAATTGGAGGTAATAAAACTAGAAACTAATCATTTGAAAAATCAGATCAGTTACAGTTACACTTCTCTCTCTACAGTGCATCGAGGTGTTCTCTTTTGTGTCCTACCTACTGTCTCTCCAAGTCTTTATTTGTGCTAATAACAATTAGCCATGAACCTTATAAGCCCATTCTTCCCAAACCTGCAGTTTTGGTAGTTGGTGCAGAGTAGATACATTTAAGAGAATAGTAAGCATCATTGTCTCCCAACCATTTTAACATTCAAATAAACTTCAGATTTCCTCTATGTAGACCAGAGTACATTCTTTTTGGCCTCCTGGATCACATTCCTTTATAATGAATTTATAATGAAATGCAAAGTACATGAACTGAACACTCAGGTGAAGAGATAAACCTCTCTAGGTGGGAAGGGTTTCTACCAAGAGACCGTGAATATAACATCCTTTGGTTATATTTCTGCACAGATCTTCTGCTTCAAGGCCACCCCTATTCACCTAACATATTAAGGATGTTTCCAACACATGGAGATATTATATGGCTAAGAGAGGTAAATCCTTCTGTGGCTCAGAGCACACACAGATACTCAGTCAGGGGTCAGTCTTGGACTCTGAATCTTCCTCCAAAGAATATTCAGTGCCATAACGTTATCATAAAAGATGAAGCCTATTTCCCATACCTGGCCTAGAGGATGAGGCCCAAACACCTCCGTGAAGCAAAATAGTGTCAAAATCCTTTTCCAATTTTTGATTTAAACCTTTCTTCCCCAACTAGCTTTAATCCTCATGCTCCAAGCTCCCTACACACAGTCCTTTAAAATGCTGTGCACTTCTTCTGAGGACTCCGTGTCTCTGCTCCTGATCTTTGCCCTTTCTCCTCTTCTTCTGAAAAATATCAGCTCATCCTTCGGAGTCCAGTTCCTATATCAACCTCTCTGTTAGTCCTTCTCCAATTCTTGCAGGAATAATTAATTACTACAGTATTTTTTATGCACCTCTGGTATTATACATTTTATTTCATATCAAAGTTGTTTACATTCTCTCCACTTTTACTTTATCACTTGACTTCTACTCTTCCTCCCCTATCCTCTCACACATTCTAATCCCCACTCTGATCTAGGAAACCAGGGATTCACACACACATGAATAAAACCCTGGAAGTGGACCAAATTCTAAAATAACTAAGAAAGCAAAGTATTCTACTTTGTATCCTGAGCACCCTGCATAGCATCAGCATATAAGAGATTGACTCATATTTACTGAACTGAATTCAAAGACGATGCTTCCCACAATAATATTTCCCACTTCTGAACTTCTCCAATACACTTTTGTACACTCTTTTGATACTATCTTATATTTGAACAAAATTACTCATTTATTCAGTTTTCAATATACTTTAAAAATATCTTCTCTTATTTGATCCTTAGAACAAACTTGTGAAATAGGTAGGGATTTTCATTCCTGC